ATTAAATACTTGACCCGTGGTAAGACATTTTATAAAGTTAAGTATAAAACTAACAACATAATATTTGTTGTTTTTAGGTAAAATATATAAATTGCCTTTTAATCTATTAAAAAAAAGTCGAATAAAAACTTTTTACGAAAGAGAAATAAGTACGGTTTTCTATATAAAGTTGAGATTTATATCTAATCTAATAAAAAAAATGGATAGGTGCATACCCAATCTAAAAAATAAATAATCATTTACTACTAGTTTTTTCTAAACACATTTTCACTTCACCTTTTTTTTGGTCTTTAAAACTAAAACTCAAAGTCTTGCACAGTGCTATTTAGAAAAATAATGTCATTTAAATTTTTGCTCGAAAGTTGGTTTCTTAGTGTTCACTTGTATATCGTAGAGTAAGGACGTATTCCGCCGAGTGCGATAGCAAAAAGTGACCACCGATAAGAACAATTAAAATCTAATTATTAAAAATTCTAGTTATTAAAATAAACAGTAAAGTGGCAGTGGCGTACCAAATTCTGTTTTCTACAATGAACAATTCACATACACGGAACACAAACAATCAGTGTCTATTGTAGTATCAGCAGAAATTGCAGGTAAGCAGCAGGTCCACTATTAACAAACATTTAAGAACATGTACCCAACTCCACAACAATATTCTCCACTAGAATACACATCCGAACATGCACCAAACCACATATACTGGCAACCCGCAAATACTCCTATATCAAACATTCCACAAAATCAATTCGCTCTTCCACCACAACCACAACAATTTCCCCCACAACCCCAACCAATTTACTACAACCCAAGCAACCCATCTATTGTAGGGCAGACCTCAAACACAAAGCTAAAACTTGCAATTAGTCATTCAGAAAACACGGATATGGAGTCTAGTGAAGACGACGATCAAGAAACCCAAAATAAAAACTCATGGCAAGTAGTCAAAAAACGTAAATTTTCAAAACAAAATAATGATCCCAATTCTCCAAGCTCACCACCAACAAAAATACAAAATCGATACAGTGCTTTATCTAACGCTGAGAGCTCTGAACAGACTGAAACAGAAAAACAACAGAAAATACCAAAACCACCTCCAATATTCGTATATGGCGTCAAAAACTTTAAAGATATGGTCGATAACTTTGCACAAATTGTGGAGGAAGAAACCTACTATACCAGAACTCTACCAAACGACACTGTCAAGATTATAACATATACAATAGATACATACCGTAAACTGATAAGACATTTACGAGAAGAAGAAATCATTCACCACACTTACCAAATAAAGGAAGAGCGTGCCTATAGAGTGGTAATAAGACATATTCATCACTCTATACCCACAACAGATATAATAAAGGAACTGGAAAAAGCCGGCCATAAAGTTCGCAATGTAACTAACATTCGACACAGGCAAACAAAGGAACCTTTATCTTTGTTTTTCATAGATCTTGAACCCAACAGTAACAACAAAGACATATTCAACCTAGAATTCTTATGTCACACAAAAATAGCAGTCGAGGCACCAAATAAGAGAAACTCAATCATTCAATGCATGCGATGTCAAGCATATGGTCATAGTAAAACATATTGCACTAAACCGCATTACTGCGTTAAATGTGGAGGACAACACAATACAAAAGATTGTAAAAAACCTAGAAGCACTCCAGCTAAGTGTGCACTATGCAAAGAAGGTCACCCTGCTAACTATAAAGGCTGTGTAGTCTACAGGGAACTAGTAGAAAACAGACATTTGCAGAAAAGAGGAAACCAACAGCCTCAAGGACCAACATTCAACAGTCCACATGTATATACTGAAACAAATCAGCTAAATACTCTACAAAACCATCAAAGAACATATGCAAACGTGACAGCAAATCAAACAAATCACGATTCAGAACCTAAAACTAATATAGAACAACAACTATTAACATTCCTAAACGAGTTCAAAAACATGTTCTCACAACTCATGAGTCAAAACAGTATGATATTAAACTTACTAACACAAGTCATTAACCAAAGAAATTCTTAAACATACTTAGAGTTGCCACATGGAACGCTAACGGCCTGCTAAACCATAAGCAAGAAGTAATTATTTTTTTAAACTTAAATAAAATTGACGTTCTGCTTATTTCAGAAACTCACTTTACCGATCTGACTACGTTCAATATTCCGCTCTATACCACATACAGCACACCTCATCCTGATGGTACAGCTCATGGTGGCTCGGCGGTAATCATCCGCAGCTGCATATCACATCATGTATTGCCGAATTATGCAACAGAAAAAATACAAGCAACAATCGTTCAAGTAAATTCAACACCATGGCACTTTAACATATCTGCAATGTATAGCCCACCTCGTCACACAATCTCCACAGATGAATACAAAGCCTTCTTCCAATTACTTGGCAGCAAATTCGTTGCCGGGGGAGACTGGAATGCGAAACACATACACTGGGGCTCAAGACTCATAACAACAAAAGGTCGTAATCTTCTAAAAGCAATGACCGACAACAACTATGATTGCCACACCAACGGAATCCCTACGTACTGGCCAAGTGATCCAAGAAAACTTCCAGATCTGCTGGACTACTACATAAGCAAAGGAGTGTCCAGAACCAACTGTCTAATAGAATCCAGCTATGATCTCTCATCGGATCATACACCGGTTATTATGAGCCTGAGTACCACAGTTATAAACAGCCCACCACCTCCTCGACTCACGTCAAAAAACACCGACTGGGCAGATTTTCAATCCTACCTAGAAGAAAACACCCATCTTAATCAGCGGATCAAGTCTACACATGACATAGATACAGCAGCTCAATACTTCACCACACTTGTGCAAAAAGCGGCATGGCAATCTACACCACGAACTGAACGCAAACCAACACATACCACAAATGTTCCCCTGCACATTCGCCAACTCATTGCTGAAAAACGTCGTGCGAGGAGAACTTGGCAAAGATCTAGAAATAACATAGACCTACATATATTCAATAGACTACGAAGGCAACTTGGAGTAGCCATCAAAGCTGCAAACAACGAAACCTTCGAACATTACATAACAAATCTTACAGCAAATGACCAGACGTTATGGAAGGCCACTAAGAAGCTAAAGAAACCATACACAACCATTCCTCCTATCCGTAAACCAAATGGCGAATGGGCCTGTTCCAACAAAGAAAAAGCTGACGTTTTTGCTGAACATCTTACAAACGTATTTCAAACAGAGCCGGCAGACCCTGATGAAGAAGTGGAAGAACTAATTAGCGCAGCATGTCAAATGTCCCTCCCAATTAAAAGTTTTACTCCTATAGAAGTTAGGAAAGAAATAAACAAACTCAATTCACGAAAGGCCCCAGGTTATGATTTAATCTCGGCACAAGTACTAAAACAACTTTCTCGTAAGGCCATAACTTTGCTAACAGTTATATTTAACCGCATGCTAAGCTTATCATACTTTCCAAAAATATGGAAATTTGCTGAAGTCATTATGATCCTCAAGCCAGGAAAAGAGCCCAATGAAGTAACATCTTATCGACCTATCAGCCTGCTCCCAACCGTAAGCAAAGTTTTTGAAAGATTGCTACTTCAAAGAATATACGCAGATCATGAATTCCTTACATTGCTTCCAAAACATCAGTTTGGTTTTCGGGAAAATCACTCCACTACCCAACAAATTCATCGAATGATAAATGAAATGTCAAAAAGTCTTGAAGAAAAGAAATACTGCAACGCTGTATTTCTAGACATCTCACAAGCGTTTGACAAAGTTTGGCACAGAGGTCTGCTTTACAAAGTAAAAATAGCACTATCCAGTAACTATTTCCTCCTACTTAAATCCTACATATCAAATAGATATTTCTCTGTAAAATTCAAAGACCAACAATCCAACCTCTGTCCTATCAACTCCGGAGTCCCGCAGGGTAGTGTTCTAGGGCCGCTGCTTTTCTCACTCTACACAGCCGATATACCAGAGACCAATAATACTACAATCGCTTCTTTTGCTGACGACGTAGCAATACTAGCCGTAAATGAAGATCCCATACAAGCCTCAGAAAACCTGCAACATCATCTGAACATACTCAGTGATTGGTATACAAAATGGAGAACAAAAGTAAATAAAACAAAATCAACTCAAATAACATTTACCAACCGTCACAATATATGCCCACCTGTAAGGATGGAAAATATAAGAATACCAACAGTAACAGACGCTAAATACCTTGGCCTCCATCTTGACCAACGACTCACTTGGAAGAAACATATCCAGACCAAAAGAAAGCAGCTCGACTTAAAATTCCGACAAATGTATTGGCTTCTTGGACGTAAATCAAAACTTAACATCCAAAACAAAATTCTTCTATACAAAGCCATACTCAAACCTATCTGGTTCTACGGACTACACCTATGGGGCTGTGCAAAACCAACGTCGCTGAATATTATCCAAAGATTCCAGTCTAAAGTACTAAGATCGATAGTGGATGCGCCATGGTACGTAAGTAACCAAACACTCCATAATGACTTAAAGGTTCCTTTCATAAGAGACGAAATTCATCGAGCCACGGAGTCACAAAATGAACGTACCATTCACCACGAAAATGAGCTAGTAAGGGAACTATACAACAATGGACCAGCCACAAGAAGATTACATAGAACCTGGCCTCAAGACCTTCTTCAGAACTAAACCAAAGTAGAATAAGGTGAGACATCATTGGATGTCTCCCCTTCACGCGCAAAACCTGTAATCACATTTACTTAATACTCTTTTTTTTTATGTAGATTGTAAATAAACATAATTATAAAAAAAAAAAAAGTTGGTTTCTTCGGTCGTTTATTAGTTGCCCAGCCTTAGAGAATACTCTTTCCGAGGAAACAGACATTGCCGGTACACAAGAGTACTTTAAATGTAAATTATACAGCTCACCTAATGCTGTTTTATGTGTTTTCCAGAAATTAACTGGATCTTCCTCTCTCTTCAATATGGGCTTATCAAGATTTAATCAAAACATTTGCTTCTGAAGATGGAGTGGATTGACTTCTAATTTTTGTAGCTTTTTCATCAAAATGTGCCCAAGGGTCATCGCCTTCGTTTGTTTGATTTTCGTTGGACAAATCGTTTGATAAAGAAGAATCGGTCTCTTGGTTTTGTAAACCGCTTTTGAGATTTAAAATGTTTGCCAATTCAGTTACAATTAATTTTTGTGCATTATCAGCATTTGCCGGCAAACCAAATCCTACTTTCTTAAATCGCGGATCAAGGAAAGTTGCCTTGGCACATAACTGGTTTGTTTCCAACATGCATAGTCTTCTACTTATCACATCCAAAAGACCATCCTTAAGGGACTTCCCCGGAGGTGATTTTGTTTTTTTGTTCATCAAAAGATGTTGAATTCCTCTCACAAGGGGAATAATTCGTGACATGGTGCTATATCTTGCCCCTGATAGTTCGGATGTCATCAATTCTGCGGGTTTTAAAACAGGCACCAAGTCACTAATTATTTCCCATTCTGCAATCGTCAAAAAAGGTGGTACATTTGGAAGTGACACAATTATAGCTGACAGTGGATCTTTTAATAATAGTAATCTTTCCATCATTGTCAACGTAGAATTCCATCTGGTGGAAACATCCTGCTTTACTTTATATAGAGGGCAACGAAGTTGTTTCTGCATGGACTTTAGTCTTTCGGAAGCCACGACACTATGATTAAAATGCGACACTATTGTCCGGCACTTCGCGATTAATTGTTTTACCGTTTCGTCTTTGGAAATGGCTTCTTGTACACTTAAGTTTAATGTATGCGCTACACACGCATGATGGCGTAGATTCAAATGCTCAATTATCGCGTTTTTTATATTAGCGCCATTATCACTAACTACAGCTACAATTTTTTTGTCGATGTTCCATACTTCAAACATTGACTTTAGCATGTTCGCAGTATTTTCTCCGGTATGCCTTTCTGAAAATTCTTCTGTCGCTAAAACTGTATTCCACAGTTTATCATTGTGGATGAAATGGCAAGTTAATGTCAGGAAGGCTTTTGTGCTGCCTGATGTCCAGATATCTGTTGTTACTGATACATGCTCAACATAATTTAACATTGCCCATAACTGTTGAAAAATTGTATTGTACGCATTCGGTATCATTTGTGTTGATAATACTTTCCTGTTAGGAGAAGTATATAACGGTTGCAACTGTTTTGAATAGTATAGCAAACCAATATTTTCAACGATGCTAATTGGTCGATAATCAAGTGCGATCATCTTAATTAAGCTTCTATCGATCAGTTCACGCTCACTTTCCGATAATTTGTCCTTTTTGTTTGTACAAAATAATTCCATTTGTCGTGGTTTATTAACGCGGTTTTCACGAAACATTAAGGCATTTGAATTTTCCATTTCCACTACGCAGTTAGCGCTCCCGGTGCTCGTCAAAGTGGTAGATGGATGGTTTGATGTAGAAGATGAAGCCACTTCATTAGAAGGTGGTTGTTGGCAAACTCTAGCACTATATGTTAATTTTCCCGGATGCTTTCGCTTTAAATGGTCACGTAAATTAGAGGTATTACCAGAAAACTTAAATTGTTTTTTACACAATTCCAAAATACGTCTTTAGCAGACCGCCTTGTAAAAAATGTCCATACTGCGGAAGTTTTACTCACAGATCTAAGCATTTTTCTGAATGTAACGTGTGGTTCTGAACAGAACAAAATTCAAACAGATACTAAAATGAAATCAGTTTCGAAATGTAGAATTCCTAAAAATATCTGGTTTCCTAAAAATGTGTTTGAAAGACAAAGAATTGTAAAAAAATCAAAGTACATACACGTGTATAATACAATTCAAAACTGAGAATTTGAGAACATTGACGAAGCGGGTTATCTGTATGTATCACAGTAAGACCAGATGGCAGATACCAGATGGGTCAAAGATAATTAGTGATGTCTGAATTCGAATTAAAATAATCGTTGAATCCGAATATTCAATTACTCGGAGTATTCCGATTATTTTTTGACGATACGAATACGAATGCGAATACTACTCGGATGTCTTGTGTTGAATTCACAGTCGATGCAGATTTCGGTTACAGATCCGAATGAGAATACTACTCACCCACGTATAGATTGTTGAAGTCACATTCACCATACGGTCTACTGGTTTCGGCATATCTTTTAGGATTCGGAATATTGGGAGAGCGACTCCGTCTAAGTCAATACCAAGTACAAGTAACGGGAACGGTTATGTTTTCTTGAACTATTATACGAATTTAATAATTGTTAATGTTATGATAGAACTGCTTGGTGCGTTTATTTATTATAAACAAAAATAATCAGGTCTTAAAGAAAATATTTAGTAAATAGTAAAATATTAACAATATAATAAATCAAAAGTCTAAATAAAAAACTGGAATATAATAATTTTTAAATCCTTAAAATAATAACAACTATACCTTTTTTCTATTAGTGCTTGTTAATTTATTGTTTATATTTAACTTTATCCTTTTTCGCCTTTGCCTATTGCAATATTGTTCATAGTAAGATAAGCACCGTATAAGCACGCTCTACTCTGACTTCACCCATATCACACATTTCTCTCGTTCTCTCTGAATTAATTCGGAATCGAATAATTAATCCGAGTATTTAGATCATCCGAATACGTTGAATCCGAGTATTGAAATCATCCGAATATCTACATCATTAGTCAAAGATGCGGAAGCAAAAGTTACTGTTTATTTTAAACTCCTGTACCTTTGTTTAGTATTATTGAATGGTTGAAAAATCATTCATTGTATTAGCGTTAATTGATATATGGGTACATCGCAATATATTCATCAATCAGCGTTATTATTAGTAGATAACAAATAAATTTCAACATTTGTTGAATGTTTTTCTGAACGAATACTTTTAGTAAAATCAGTTGAATGAATATTAATATGTAGTTGGTAATTCATGTTATAGAAATACCTACTTAGATGAAATACAGAAATACAATTAAAAAATTGATCAGGTGATTTAAGAAATTATAAAAAGTATCTCCAAATTAAAAACATAATTAAAATCTGTTGTTTTTAGATAAAATAGGTATATATTTATATCACCGTTACCTATATTTAATTAAAACATAAATATTATATATAATTATTAAATTATAGTAGGTATACTAATCAGTACATGAATTTGTCATTTTTGGCCTAAAATATTTATTTTATTGATTATACACTACATATTATAATATTGTTTTTAATTAATATCTTTCGACAAGTAATTAAAATCATTAATTAGAATCAAAATGTATAGATATGTTATCTGTATAGTAAGCAAGTACAGTTAAAAGTTATAAAATAAAAAATAATATTGCATATTTATGCAATTTATCCAATCCATAATGCTCAGCCTCTCAATTCTTGATCAAAATGTAGTAGAAAACTGTAGTTTTCAAAGTACAAAGTTTGTAGTAAAAAGAAAACTATCGTTTCAACATGGCCGCCTGCTGGGCATGCACTCAATTAAATTAGTAATGAATAAATTTATTCGAATGAATTCATTCGATAGTTAAATTCATTCATTTAGTAATTATTCGATAGTTCAAATTATTCGATAGTTCCCAACACTAGTATCTATCACATCTCTGTACGAAACTTACCAGTTTCAGAGAATCGCCATTAAATGTAGGTAAAAAGTTGTAGCATTTTCAATTTCATTGATTCTTTAATATATTGAAATCCCCTCGTATAGGTGATATATTAAACACCCCTCATAAATGTTTGAAAAATCGCAAAATGTTTTTTAATGTGTTTCAATTTCCGATTTGTACGTATTTAAACACCGAATTATTTCGTTCTTTTCACGTCGCCAAGTCGATTTTTGTGTTAATAAATCATTTTATTGTTTGTTTATGTCCAAGTTCTTCGATATTCCTTTGATCGTCAAACCGCCTGAAACTGCGTTTTAATTCCTGTCAAGTGTTTGTTATTTTAAGTTATGCGATCAATTTTAAAAGATAATTTCTTGACTCTCGGTGAAACCGCTGTCAAGAGCGTTTGTAGTTTTATTAGAGTCCGAATTTTTCTTCAAATTCGTAATGTTTTTTTCGTTTTTTTTTGTCTTTTGTCAAATGTGTAGTTTGGGAAAATGTGTAGTGTGGTGGCAGTTAAGAGCTCGGCGTGTAATATTCAGAAAGCCGACAGATCCTCTTTGTGGAAAGTTATATGTGTTGTATTATGTCCTAAATGGAAGATTTGTAAGGTGTTACAACGATATAAGAGGCCATCGTATTTTCAATGAAGTTTTGAAAAGCCAAGCTTAGATGTTTGCAATTTTTTTTGACCCGAAGCCCGATGATCCAGCCCAACTTCAACTTCCTTCGTCTATTTGTTTGTCCCTGGTCATTCCAGACCATTCTGAAGCTTGAAGACGCATTTGTGTTATTTTGCAGTGTTAAGAAAACCAGTTCCAGCCCCAAAACTAATATTTAGTGAAGTCAGGTACCTTTTTTTGTTAATTTTTTTTTAAAGTAAAAATAGACATTTATCATTAATAATTGCTTTCATGACAAGTTGAAAAATTGTAATAAGTAAAATTATAAAAATTAGGATTTGGCTAACTGTCATAATAATTACTTATTCTTATACACATAACTAACCATAAGTTTTGAATTTGTTTTGGTTTTTTTTTAAAGTTGACCTTAATGTAAACTGCATTGAAAGATCTATATGATTTCAATTTATTAATAATGTAAGTTTTTATAGTGTCCCCACCGTCTAGAATTGTAAACCGATAGCAACATTGTTTTTGTAATTATCGTTTGTTTTGTAACTGTGGTGACAGAAAAATAAATTTTGAATTTTGTTTTCTTAACATTTTATTTTTTTTTAACTAACCTTTTTTTGAGTTTGAAAAAGATATGTTTTTGATGTTTTCTAATTATTTTCCTAGTTACAACTAGTGGTTGTGACAGGTGTAATTAGGCACCTCAAGTGGCGCCCTATATTAAATTCCTTGAGGTGTTTCCTGTTTATTTTTATTTTGTTTATTCCAAAAGATTAATGACCCCCTTTATTTCATTTTGTGTAGTTGCCCCATTCCACCCCCTTATCTATTACTTATCCACGACCTCAGCTCTCCTACCAAATCCTGAGTGCCGTTCGCACAAGTAGCGATTATTTTGCTTGCCTTATCTCCACCCCCAATAGTTTCTTCCACCAATTTTCTATCCCCTGTGTTAATGCCCTCTGTGGTAGGCAAATAATTTCCGTTACAAAGTCTGCAAGAGCCTTAGCTGCTTGAATAGTAGGAGTTTGATTAAGTGCCATTTACAACTAGATTCTCAATATCAGTTTGCATCTAAATATTCTCTACAGTATATAAATTTTTTCTTTCTTTTAAATTTAATATAATATAGTTTAAAATAATCTACTCTGTAGAAAAAGAATTTCAAAATTAGAAATCTCTAACAAGAGTATACAAAAGAAAAATATATTTTAATTTTTTCGGCAAAAACTTCTTCTTAGAGTGCCATATCCCTACGGAACGTCGGCGACTACCATGCTTATAATATTATTATACTGATCTCGGTCTTGGGCTACGTGTATCAATAGGTCCGCTGTCAAACCTGTCCACAGCCGCAAATTCCTCAACCAAGAGAGTTTCTTCCGTCCTATCCATTTCTTTCCTTCGATTTTACCGTTGAGAATTAGCCGAAGGAACTCATATCTTGGTCCTCTGATTATATGTCCAAGATATTCTAGTTTACGCCTCTTAATAATATTTAATAGAGTTCGTTGATGTCCCATTCTTCGAAGAACTTCTTCGTTTCTGGTTCTGCTAGTCCATGGAATTTTTAGTATCCTATCGGCATTTAAAGTCCAAGTTTCACATCTATAAAAAAGTACAGACCACACGTAACATCTTGTAAACTTTTCACGGATTTCCAAATTTAATGAGTTATTGGATAATAGAGGCTTGAATTTTTGAAATGAGTTTCTTGCCTGTTCAATTCTACATCGAATTTCGAATGATGGATCTAGATTTTGGGTAATCCAACATCCAAGGTATTTAAATCTCTGAACTCTCTGCAGCGGTTCTTGGTTTAATATCAGTTGAGTTGCGCCGATATCCACTTGACTGGTCACCATGTATTTAGTTTTATCGATATTTATCGAGAGTCCCCAATTTGTGCATTCCATGTCAACTCTATTGATTAGCTCCTGCAGATCGTCGATGTTTTCAGCTAGAATCACAGTATCGTCGGCGTACCGTATATTGTTAATTATTTCTCCTCCTATGATAATTCCTTTTTGATCTTTTAAAGCTTCCCTAAATAGATTCTCAGAATACACGTTA